TAGATTAATAACAGAATTTCAAAAGTATCATGTCCAACATAGAACTTCTCATATTGCCTCTTCTTAGAAAATGGCACATTTATTTTTCTAGGTCAAAAGTTTGGATTCATCTTTGACTCTCGATTTTTCAAATGTGTGTTCTATCATCGTTCTTGTTAGCTCTACCCTCAAAATAAACCCAGAATCAAGTCAATTCTTATCACCTCCACTATTATTACCCTCATTCCAGCCACCATTATCTCAATAGCATCTGATCCACTTTTATACTTCCAGAACCACTCTCCTCTAATCCAGACTCAACACAACAGCAAAGGTGACTTTTCTAAAATGTAGGTCATGCATGTCACTAGTGTGCACAACACATTTTAATAGCTTTAAATTCAAAATGAAACACAATATTTTTGCAATAGTATGCAAAGCCCTGTCCACCATTATTAAATATTTCTCCAAGTTCATTTCTTACCATTTATCCTGCCATACTGGCCTCATTGATATTCCTCTGATATACTAAGTTCACTTCCGCCTCATGACACTCATACTTCTATAAGTTGTGCATGGAAATCTCTTCTCTTATATTTCCTTAAATATCTCATGGTTCTTTTCTGAAATGTCACCTTAAGAGTGAAATCCTCCCGGTTTGCCTCATAAAAGTTGTAACCTTCAATAGCCTCCCTGCTTGTCAGTCCTCTTGCTTTGTTTCATAACACTTACCATCCCTCATGCGTTTTATTTATTTATTTGACTACTCTCAGTCTTTCCCTATCAAAATAAAAAGCCCTATGTGGATATGGCCATGCTCTCTTTCATTAACTGATACATTCTCAAATCCTGGGAGACATTCAATAAATTTCTGTAGCAGATATTACAGTAACTCAATAAATATTTGATAAATAACTAAGTTAAGTGGGATCAAAAAATAAAAACTTAAAAATTTATCTCAAAAATTGGAAATTCGTCTATTTGCCATGATATTAGCAATTGTCCCTTGTAAAGGGGAACACTGTCCATAACATAGATGGCCTTGATTCTCTGGACATAGGTTAAAATAGGCTTAGATATGTTAAAAAGGGGACATAAAACAAAATCTTGAGAAAGACTTTCCTTGGAGACTATGCTGTGCTCTGGATTGCTTCCTATCATGCAGTATACTTTTAAAAGGCTCAGAAATAGATATCTTAGGGAATCCACAGGGAGAAATAAATGCTAGGTGCATGGGTTAGAGAGTTTGCCTAATGTGTGAGCTTTCTATTAGGAAAGAAAAAAGCATTCATTTGCCTTTATCAAAAAGTCCCCAAACAACAAATGCTGGCGTGGTTGCGGAGAGAGAGGAACACTCCTACACTGCTGGTGGGACTGCAAACTAGTTCAACCTCTGTGGAAAGTAATATGGAGATACCCTAAAGCAATACAAGTAGAACTACCATTTGATCCAGCAATTCCACTACTGGGCATCTACCCAAAAGATCAAAAGTCACTTTATGAAAAAGACACCTGCACTCGAATGTTTATAGCAGCACAATTCATAATTGCAAAGTTGTGGAAACAACCCATGTGCCCATCAATTATGAGTGGATTAATAAAATGTGGTATATGTATTCAATGGAGTACTATTCAGCTTTAAGAAACAATGGTGATATAGCACCTCTTGTATTTTACTGGATAGAGCTGGAACCCATTCTACTAAGTGAAGTATCTCAAGAATAGAAAAACAAGTACCACATGTACTCACCAGCAAATTGGTATTAACGTATCAACACCTAAGTGGATATATAGGAATAACATTTATCGGGTGTCAGCCAGGTGGGAGGGGGGAGAAGGGGATGGGTATATACAACCATAATGAGTGAGATGTACAATGTTTGGAGGACGGTCACGCTTGAAGCTCTGACTGAAGGGGGGAGGTGGGGCATGGGCAATATACATAACCTTAACATTTGTACCCCTATAATATGTTGAAATAAAAAAATAAAAAATATATATATAAAAAGAAATAATTCTAAAATTAAAAAAAAAGAAAAAAGCATTCATGTTTGGAAAGGGGCTTTCAAACTAAGAGGTGTTCAAGATTTAGGAAATATGTGTATAAAATGATGTAAAATTTGTTTTCTGTAGTGCCTGATATAATGTATGCACTTACTAAATATTTCCTTGACTCATTATTCATTTAATTATAGTGATAAATTTCTATAACAAGATCCAAGTATGCAATAATAGTAAATTGAAGAACATTGATTTTTAAAGGGTAAACTATAGATGACATAAAACTTTCTCTATTTACTTTGTCTAAAGAATATTTTCTGAAATCACAAACTTTTATTGCTGAGTTCATATTCTCATATTTTCCAAGTGGCTAAGATCATGTGTTTGAAGAGCTGTGAGTAGATATCAACAGGCAACAGTTGGAATTAACAAACAATATTTGATAAAATATTATTCTGGATGTGTCTGTGAGAATATTTTGACGAGATTAACACTGGAATCAGTAGAATAGACTAAGTAAAGCCCTCTTAATGTGAGTGGGCCTTATCCAAGCAGCTGAAGACCTGAAAAGAACAACGTCAAAAAACCTTATCCTCCCATGCATAAGAGGAAACCTTGCTGACTGACTGCCTTGAGCTATGACATTGGGTTTCTTCTGCCTTCAGACTCACACTAAAGCATCCACTCTTCTTGGATCTTAAGCCTGACAGCTTTCAGGCTAAAGCTTGCACCATCAGCCCTCGTGGGCCTCCAGCTTGCCAAGTGCAGCTTTTGGATCTTCTCAGAATTCATAATCATGGCAGTTAACTTCTTATAATAAATCTCATATGTGTACATTCAATATATATTCATAAATATATTTTATGTATAATATATATTCCAATGGTTTTGTTTCTCTGGAGAACTCCAATACAGCTGCTAAAAGAACTTACTGTCTGTTCCAGCCAAAGTCTAACTATAGGCCCCTGACGTCTCTTTTCTTAGAGCAGTTACTTTAGAAACTTGTATTTATAAATCCTTTTGTGTCCCTTCGAGATATAAATCTTCTATTACCCAGACGTGTGTGCTCAAGGACTGGGAGCCATCTCTTTGAAATGCAATCAACCCAGGGAGATAGCTCTCCTGTCTCCCAGGTGATCTGGGGAAGTAAGAGCCTAACTTTGGTGGGCATCTTGCTCCAATGTGCAAAACTATTTCCTATTCTAAAGATATAAAAAGCTTGTTTCTCCTCTAGATAAATATCAATTAACAAACTCAGATGGCCTATCACATTGACCGGCTTTCCCTAACACTCTTTAATACTTGTCCTTTAGAACAGCCGAGCATTTAAAAGCCTCCCACCATTTGTTTCAGTGGATTGAGCCCAATTTACACAGACGCCTCTCTCTCCTACAGCAGTAGCCGGAATGAAATCTGTTTCTTGCACTTTTAACAACTAGCTAGTGAATAATTTATCTTCAACACTGCTCAGTCATACTACAAAACAGAAACTCACCTTGGAAATGTGGTTGAACACAATAATCAATGCAAACTTATTTAATCATTTTTTCTCCATGTTGAGTGAGCGCCCATCTCCTCCCCCACCATACACACATATTTTCATTTTGCAATAGGCTCACAAATTATGTAGCTGGTCCTAGTAGTAGAAGAAATAGTTGTAGAAGTAGTACTGGTAGTAGCAGTAGTATTAGTAGCAGGAAGATGGGCAGCAGGAGGAGGAGGAGGAAGAGGAAGGGGAAGAGAAGGAAAAGGATGAGGAGTGACAGCCAAAGCTAACATTTAGTAAGCAATTGTTCTAGACCAGGCTCTGGTCTAAGTGTTCTATGGGTATCAGTTTATTTAATTTCATAACAGTGATAAGCTACTATACTATTAATAATACAAATCCTTTTTTGTCCTTGAAAAACTAAGGCAACAGAGAAGTTCGGTACTCTAAGTGGCAGATCTGACATAGGGAAGTGATAGTAGAAATGGAATAGAAAAAAAAAACAGATGAAAAAGGGTAGAAATATAATCAAATGGAAATGATAAAGGCTTACACTGAAGAAAGGATTTCATGACAAGTGTGTTTTCTTGTTTTTGTTTTATTTTCTTTGCGATCTAGATGATTAAGTCAGTGGTAGAATAGGAATTGAGATAGTCTTGAAGAATACGACAATAAGATTAGCTTTAGTTAAATTGAGTTTTTATGAAGATGTCTAGCAGATAGTTGGAAATATGATCCAGTTTCTCAAGAGACAAATGGATGAGGAAAGAAATTTGAAATAACTCAAGAAGATGATATTTGAGGCCAGAAGAATATATGAGATTGACAAATGGGAAAAAGAGACAAAGAAAGAAACTTAAGACCTCATTGAGAGACCTAGGAGAAGAAGAGCCAGAAGTGAGAACTGAAAAATGCTCTTTCTTCCTGGGGCTTACAGTCTCATTTAAGTCCAGAGAGAAACAGTTTAAGTAAGCAAGTTTTCAGGAGTTCTAAATGTTGCTGAGAGCTCAAGGAGCAATGAGGAATTACTGAGAACAAAATATTGGAGTGAGAAATAAACACTGGTGACTGTCATGAGAGCAATTCCAGTATAATGAGAGGCAGGAGCCAGGTTTTAAATGTCCACAAACGGAATTATTGGCAAGAAAGTGAAGGTTGTTGTTCCTTTCAGATGTTTGAAATTGAAGAGGAGGAATGAGTCAGAAAAAGGAGAGCCAGGGAAATGAATTTTAGGATCAAACTTTGCCTTATTTAAAAGATAAAGGGACAGAAAGAGTTGAAAAGGCAGGAGAGAAGGAAAGTATCAATCATGGGGAACTGTTTCAGTCCCCCATCTTTTTTTGCAATCTTTCCATCCCCCTTTTAATTCTCAACTCTTCATGTAGCCATGAATCTTATGAAGCTGGTATTATTAGGTATATTGGGCTTTGACTATTTCAAACATATAATTTTAGCAATTGACTTTCTGTCTGTGTCTCATTTTCCATTTATAAAATTGTAATAATAATAAGTCTTTGTCTGGCCTGCCTTATAGGTTCACTCACTCAGAGCATCCAAAATGGCAATGTTTGTGAAAGAGCTTATAAAATGTACAGGTAAAAATTAAAAACTGAAATATAATACTAATTTGAAATATTATTACTGTTTTTTATCTGCTCCTTAGAAGAATTCCCAAAGATAGCCATGAGAATTCTCTCTGCTACTTTCATACAAAAGTCTGCCTGAAACTCAATCCCAACTGTTTCTGGCCACATATCAAGTTTGCTGTTTTTGTTTGTTTACTTTATCCAATCGTGCCTAAAATAATAAGGGTAGAAGAGAAGCAAAATGACAGCAAAACAGCTTTGGGTCAATTCTAATAAAAGTGATGTGTTCACCTTTGTTCATGTATGTACATGAATGGCATAGTCGTACCTTTATTTCCATCACTCAGGAATCCACTCTGATTCTTAATGTGAGTGTACTATGGTTATCATATGATTATGTGTGGCATAAATTTTTCTCCCTGTAACATTCCCTCTTTGCAATCTATAAGAGTCATAAACTTGGAGGATTTTATTGGAAAGTCAAGGTGGCAGAGTTATGGAAATGAATCAGACATTGTTGCTGCAACAAAGTGATTTACTTGTAATTCTAAACACACTCCACTAAGTCATACACAGCTCTTGGGAGAGGGATGACTAATTAGCTCAGTGACTTATCCGCCCACATGCTCTGCTGATTCTGATACATTAAAACATTTTACTAGCCTGCAAGGTCAGGAAATCTTACTGTGTGGGTAGTATTTCTAAGAATTTAATAGCAATAGCCTGATGTTAGTTCCTTTGCATCTGTAGATTGGTAATAAATCCTCAATGATGAATAAACTCACATACTTATTTCTCAGAACTTCTTTGTACACAGAGGTCTCAACAAAGACTGAAATATTTAAAAGGGAAAGATCACTGGCAAAATCAGATAATCAATTATTCATGTACTGGAGAATAAATTCAGCTGTCTACAAATTTAGAATTCCTTAATTTCAGTATGAGATAAAGACTTGAAGCTCATAGTTGTATGTGAAGTGTCCTCATTTAACATTACTTATCAGTAAATCATATTCAGTAAATGTTTCTAAAGAATGACATATCTCAGGGTGTCCTATGTGTAGCTGTCAACTGTAGGGCTGCAAACAGAACCGGAATAGCTTAATATTATAACAGGGATTCGATAATCACAAGTGATGTTTGCTGATATTCAATCTTTAGCAGGTAGAAGACACACGAAGTGAAAATTTGATTTCCAATATCACCATCCTGTAATCATTAGTGAAGCAAAAATATTACATTAAATTAGAGTACTGTGGACAATTTGAACTGGGAGAATCACGTTCATTTTTTGGTTTCCTACCATTGGCGAAATCCTACAGTCAGTGCATTGTCTTCTTTGTATACAAAAAAATGGCAATATTTATTTCTAGGCAGATAATTGCCTTCTCTGCTAACCACTTCAAATATTTTGTACATTTGATTAGCTTTTTTCTTTTTATAGCAAAATGTTCTAAAGCAAAAATGCTGTGGGGAAAAAAGAAAAAAGATGGAAAGCAAAACAAAGCCACAGGACAAAGAATGAGTGGAATAGGTTATTTTGCATATAGAAATGATAGACCGATTAATTTGAAGCAGGAAATATTTATAGGCTACATGTTTTGCAACCTTTCAAAGAGTATCACATCCCAAACAATAAATGTTATAAAAGCATACAGTGAGTTTCACTTTTTTTCATTTTGGACTCAAAATGAAAAATTTTGAGTCCACTCAATTTCTATACTCTAGGGCAGGAGCGGGAAACCTGCAGCCTTAAGGCCACATGTGGCTTTCTAGGTCCTTAAGTGCAGCCTTTTGACTGAATCTAAATTTTACAGAACAATTTTTTTTATTTTCATTATTTTTGTTAATACCATCTTTTGGTCTTCTATATTTTTATTTTATTTTTAAATGAAGGTATTTTAAATACCAAAGAATAAAATCAGCTTCAATGAAATAATTGTCCCAGATTGACCAGCACAATTAGAACATTAGTAAACCGTGGGACTAAACTGACAGCTGCTGTGTTCATGATTTAGTTCTAACTTCCCCACTTGACTGGCGCCACCTAGTGCACAAGGTTAAGTGGTGAGAATTTATGAGGGTTGAGTGAGCGGGTTTGTTACCCACCTTTTGACAATGGTGTACTTGTTTTTGTTTGAAGTGGAATTTGTGAATAGTTGCACAGCTCGACAGTATTTCTTAATTTTGTCTGCTTAACAGCCCATGAGGTCAAAGAAGACCAAGAGAACACAGAAGAAGGAAAAGAGATTTTTTTAAATGAGGGTAGGGAATTGCAATATTATCTTGTTTCTGCCAAAGATAAGATGATTTGCTTGCTTCATGATACTGCAATATCAACATTAAAAAAATTCAATGCTTATCAGCATTATAACACTCATAAGGACCCACAATTTTAAATTAGAAGAAGAGGCACAAAAGGTTGTACTGCAGAAATTAAAAGATAAACAATAAAAGCAAAGACAAGTCTTTCAAGCAGCAATAGGGCCAGGAAATAATGCCACTGAAAGAACTTATAAAGTAGCTTATATACTTGCAACAAAAGGGAAGCCATTCAGTGTTGCAGAAATTGTGAAAGAATGAATGTCAAAGTTGTAGGATGCTTAGACCCTGATAACATTTCAAAGTATAAACGATTGCCTCTTTCAAGGAAAACTATAAATGATCGACAGTATGAATTAGCTTTCAACTTCACAAAACAACTTCAATTCAATTATTCAATCACTTTGGAGAATCAACTGATACTAATGACTTGGCACAGGTTTTATGCTTCATTTGGGTCATAACAGAAGATTTTCTTTGCTATTAACACTAATAGTTACTCTGTGCACTCTTGGGAACAGAACATGGGAAATAGATATCTTCAACAACTTGGATGATAAATATCATGAAGTTAGACTGAATTTGGTAAATTTAGTGAGTGTATGTACAGACGGTGCCCCTTCCATGACAGGAAAACATGAAGAGCTTATTGCACAGATAAAAAAAGGATTAACAGATCCAGTTGCTCTCATTTCTTTTCATTGTATCTTACATTAGCAAAATCTCTGTGTGAAAGCTACTATTTTAAGTAAAACTTTGCAACAAGTTATAAATACATTTAACTATATTTGTGTAAATGCAACATGGCATTGTCAGTTTCAGCACACACTGAAGTTGAACAATGAGGTATTTAGTGTGGATTTGCCATAGTATTCTAAAGTGTGTTGGCTATTGCAGGGACAGGTGTTAAGCAAAATTTTATCTGTGTGAGAACAGATAGTTAAATTTTATGAAGAATTGAATCAATAGTGTGAATTGTTGAAATAATATTTCTATATGAATGCAGCTTTTCTGTATGATATCATGTCAAATCAAAATGATTTGAATATTTCTTTGCAAGGCAAAACTAAGTCTGCATATGATGTGTGGCAAAAAATATCCAAGCATTCTGAAAAGAGCCACCTTTTTTCAAAGCGCTTCTTCTTCAAAAGGAAATTTAAGGTGAACATTTTCTCCAGTTAGCAAAGATTGTTGATGAGAAGGATGATATATGCAAATAGGTTGAAGAATACACAGCCGTTACAGACCTATTAATTAGAGAACACGATGAAAGTTTCACTGACATTAAGAATCATGACATCACACTCAAATTAGCATGTCAGCTTCACCTAGTGGATATCACCAAGGCGCCTCAAGAACTGCAGATGGAACTGATTGAGCTCTCAGTAGATGACATTTGAAAGCCATTGTTTGATGCTAAGAAAGATCCAATTGAAATATGGAAAAATGCAGTAGAATATCCATGCTTTTGGCAACATGCTTGAAAAATGCTTCTTGCTTTTCAACCATTTATTGCTGTGGATCTACATTCTCCTATACAAGCCAAATCATGATGGCCTATGGTCACAAATGACTGATACCCACCTACAGGATCAGCTGGAACTTCAGACCTCCATGCTGCAACCAAATATCAAATACTTTCCAACAAAAACAGACACAACAAAGTCATTAAAAGGTTAGTTAAATTTAAAATTAACAGTTTTCATTTTTTGAAATTATTAAGCACATAGTAGTTAAATTTTTATAAAATAATGTACGTTTTTAAGTGTATCTAACTGAAATTTCTTGAATATGGCCTTATTTGATTACAGCTAAATTAATATGGTCTTCCAACGTAAAAAACTCCCCCACTCCTGCTCTAAAGACTATCTAAACGAAAATATAAAAATATTCGAACATGAGAAAAATGTAGAAACAGAATTAATGAATTAATTTCTTTTAAAATTTGTATGTAAGATTGTGATAATTCTGTAAACAAATAAGTTAATTCCACAAATCCTTGGTCATTAGACTTTTTTTGGCCACAAATCATACTCTTTCCTCTTTTTCTAACATTTCCTCATTCTAATACACTTCACTTGTACAAAAAATGATACAGATAATTTTATGTACATATTTTTTCTCTCAAATTGCACAGCTCTAACAAGTCATAGATTTCAAGATACAGAGCACAAGGAAGATTATAGGTGATTGGGATGTCAAAGGTCTGAGTTCAAATGTAAGTTCTGCTACAAAACTAGTTGTTTAACCTTGGGGACATATCATACTCTAACTCAGCCTTCAATTTTTGTGCTATAAAATGATGAGGTCAACTTAAATGATCATTGAGAATTCATCTAACTCAAAAGCTCCATGTTCTGTGTCCACTAACATGCACCCAGAATTTCAGCACTTATGCAAATAAAATGTGGATGCATTGAAGCTTTAGAGACACGTGTGGGGAAAGGGTATATCCAAATACATATGACATCAGGCATAAAGTGAGACAATACATGTTTAACTTATGATCAAAACTATAGTCAAGTATTCTTACCCTAAGTAATCTTTTGACTTTAAATTTTATGTTCAAGTTAGAAACAGGTCTTCAGCATTTTCCTTAGAGAAGGAGAGGTGCTTTACCTACCAAATCATGTGATCATTAAAAAGAACTATAATGGTGTGAGAATTTGGTTGGAAAGCAGGAATCTGTTCCACTTAAATGGTGCGGTATCTATATCTCTATTAAGCCCCAGAGTTTTACTTATTTCGGTCCTTTTAATATGCATCTTACTTGTTGAGCTGAAGTTGTGTAGCACATAGATTGTTAATATCCACTTTATCTCCAACTTAGCTGAATTACTTGCAGCCACAGTAAGGAGTTATTTTTAATTCATATAAAAGGGGGGAAAGAATCTTCTATTGTGCTGGATTTATGAAGACTGAGGAAGTCATTTAGCTACACAATCACAATATGAGTAAAAACAACATTCAGGATACTAAAACAGATATTATTCATATCAGAATATTGTTTCCTTAGCATTCCAGTGAATTAGAAACTGAGATTGCAAATTATTATATCATCAAGGAAAAAATTCAGTTTCTACATGAGTAATTTAGAGAATAAATTCATTCCAATGAGATGGAGGCAGCCAAGCCTGGTGTCAGCCACATCCCCACCACGCGAGGCACGTCCGGATGCCCTTGGAGCAGGCTTCCCGGGCCACCATCTGCACAGGGCCCCAAGCTATTCTCACCAAAAAGGAAGAAAGGCTCAGGATCCCTGTGCTTTGTCCAAAGACAAGGATCAGCAGAGAAGTTGTTTTAAAGATTAACCTCTGGTCTCTAGTCCTGTCCAACCCCAAGACCTCTCTTAAAATCCTGATACATAAAAAAAGATTTTTTAAAAAAACATAAAATTGTATCTTTTTCTATATTACTAAAATATGCTGTTTAAAAGCATAATACATGAAGAGGAGAATAATACTAAACTACTCAATTCAGAGCAATTACTTTTAGGTCATTTTGAAAAGCATATACAAATGTGTAACAGAACAGTATGTTGGACAGTAAATGTGACAATCTCCCTGGGATCTTCTGAAATTGCTTAGGAGCAAATTAGAGTTTCTGAATTTCTATTGATTGGCATTTACAAATGGAGACAGAGATGGTCTTTAATTACCAATAATGTGACCTTCTTCATGTCTGGTAAAACAGGTTATAGAAAAAAATAAAGAACGTATAATCTGTATATTCAAGTTTCCCTATTGTCTTCCAGGAGAGATGCCCAAAAATGGGATATGAAATGAATTTGTATTGCTTGTTCAAACAACAGTCATTAAGCCCTGCTATTTTCCAATTTGAAAAATGGTGAAATTACTCTCATGGAATATGGCATGCTTTTGGAGAAGAAAAATACATGTATGTATATTAATATATTTCTTTGAAGGTGTTTTGCTTTCTGGCCTCTATGCAGAATATGTAAGCTTAACTGCTTAGATTTTTGAACTACAAAATGAGACATGCAGTGATCAAAAAGTTAATATTAATTCAGCTTTTATACTATAGCCTGTATAAGTTCAGGCTCATAGAGCTGTGAAGGAGAAATATATCATAAACAAGAAAGTAGTGATGAGTCACATGAATTTGTAACCCATTGGCCTATTCAACTCTATGTTCTGAATTTAAATCACCTTCAAAAATAGGAAACATGAACTTAAGGAAATTTAGACCACAGAAATAAGTGATGCATTAAATACATAGTCAAAATAAATAAATAAAATTTCCATGGGTAGATAAAAATATAAATGTCCAGAAATGAAAATTAAGTATGATTCTATAGTTCGGAGGCCTGTATCTCCTTTCTGGTTCTGACCCACACCTTGCCACAATCCCAACTAAATTAATAGACATAAACTGAAAATTTCACTACATTCTTATTATTCTTCATATTAACTAATTCATACTGCAATATCTATCTAAAAATACTTTTCTACCCCTACCCATATACTCATATATTTAGGAATGAAAAGTAAAAGATTTAGACAAAACTATAAGCAGTTTGAAGAACTGTCAAAACAAAAAAATCTGGTGCATAATATTCATTAATTCATTTATTGACAACTCAATAACAATTTATGAGCTCTGTCATGTATTTGTCACAGCATCATGGATGGAAATATATATAAAGTCTTCACCTGTGCCCTCAAGGAGTTCAGATTCTAGTCTATAGCCATCTACTTACACAGAAAAAGTATAATAATAGAGATGAGAAAGTAGCACAAAAGAAGGAGCTGGTGCTCTGGGGTAGAAAGGGAAGTGTGCAGGATCCCAACACCCAGTGAATTATGCCTTATTCAACCACCTAGTGTAACTATAATCCATTTCACTCAGTACTTGAAGAATAAACATACACTCAGCACAATGCCAGTTTACTACTTAATGAGATTTTGCCCACTCCTAAGCTCCTCTGTGGAACTCCAGCTCCGTAGGGAGCTGCAAGGAGACCTACTGCTATACCAGGTAGGCCTGTGGAAAGTAAACTATATATTCACCTCTCCATGGCCAGCAGAAAACAATCAAAAGAATAGCAGCTCCTGTTCCTGTTTTCCAATCTCACTTGAATGCATGTAATGTAATTGATGAAAACAAATTTGTGTTTAGAATCTTAGCTGCTAATATGGATGTATGTTTTCTAGCATCTGCAGTAACAGGATATTGGAATGAACACCTAGGTAGAAATTTTCCAACTACCACTAGAGAAAAGAAATCCTGAAAGAAATGCCATGGGAAACTCAGAGATTTTAACCTCTTTCTTCTTCACACATGAATACCTCTTGCCCGCTTGCAGCACATGGGCAGACCCTGCCCTTGGCTTTGCTGCCTCCCTGTCAGCAGCCTTCCTCCTCAGCAGTGGTGTGTGCTGGGGCAGGGGTTGAGATGTGGAATCGGGGATGGAACAGACTTGATCTCCCTCCTGTGTTCACTCTTTCTGTTAAAACTTTGTCTCAATTTGAAAGACTTAAAACTCCCATTACTTACTTTATTCTCTTTCCGATCCCATTGTTTTGTATGTTTAGTGTGATCTCTGTGGGTGAGGAATTGTCAGCAATACAGGTATGTAGAGAGATGTCCTTTTGCATTTTTAAATGGCCTCCTTGCCATTTTTCCATTAAAAGGGATTCCGCACAAAGTGTGAGATTGCTACCATGAAGGGGCATCCAGTCAGGATGGCTGGAGAGGCTGGAGAACATGGACTGAGTGGGCTTATGGGAAGGGACAGCACTTCAGGTAAAAGGCTTAATACCGACTAGTTGAATTAGTGAGTAATAAAATCTGGGTTTGTATTACAATGAGGAACTAAAAGTTTCTGTACATTTTTTTCAGTGTTTAATATATGTTATCTTGTCTAGCTACTCCTCAGCTCCCAACATAGTACCTAGTATACAACTAACATTTAATAAAACTGAGCTAAATAAAATAATAACTATATGAATGAACTTTGACAACAAGAACTTATTTGTTCTGTTTGTGGGTGGAGTATAAATGAGATCTTGCCTTTGGGGTTTAAGTATGGAATAATAAACTTCATGAGTATTATGACTAATTCTCTCTCTTTGTGTCTCCAAGTGCCTGCCACCCTGAAGTGAAGGTGTGTGGTAATCACTTGTTCAGGTAGAGTAACTATTGCTAGAAAACAAAAACAAAATAAATAAACAAAAACAAATAACAAATTACTTACTGAGAAGATTACTTACTAACTTTACTTACTGAGAAGAAAAAATGATCAGGAATTGGAAGCTGATGTTTTAAAGTTGATGCTCTTACTAATTATTTACAATAACCTACAATATATAGCAAATAAGCTAGCTTTCAAGAAAAGACTTAGATATATTAATCTATATCCTGTAATCTCTAGCAATGAAGGATACAAATTAAAAAGTAAAAATTAATCAAAAGAATATATTTCTGTTAAAAATCAAAAAATATCAATAAATATCTTCTAAAACCAGACCAAACAAAATACTAGAAGACACAAGTCAGGAAATGCTTTATCAGCCTGATTTAAATAGATCTAATTCTCTGATTCTCTTTTATTTCTTTCCTGGCTTAGTCATTAATAGAGGTTATCTTTGCCTGTGTTGGGTATTGTTGACATTACTTTTTACAGTAAAGTTTTTTTTAGTAAGCATAAACAAACAATCCATTCTAAAATCATTTTACAAATTTCTATTAGAAATAATCAGAAAACCATAAGCTGAAGTCAAATGTTACTAATAGAAATGTAAGAGAAAAAGTCAGTACATTTTATAAAGGATTTTATAAATAAGCCAAGCATGAAATGAAAACAATAATGAATCTGACAATGTCATTCTAAAAGAAATAGAAGGTAACAGGTCTGTCTCTAAAACATCAACGTAAAATAAACTTCTTCCCCATAATATTTCAGGGTTTTGCTACAAAAGAGAAAATCAAAGTAAGTGAAACTAAGAAATTTGAATTCCATTATATTCTTGAATTTTCTGATGAAAAGGTTTTATATCAATGCCATGAGTTAATAGTATTTCCTTTAAAGGTTTCAACTTATCAAAAACATATTCAGGACATTCCTTGCCTTAAGAGAAGCAAGTGAGTGATGTTATTTAAGCTTACTATTTTATAGGATGAGCCCTTTAGGGACACAGTGCTAGAATTCTAAATCTGGAATTCATGTGCAATGTATGGGTTTTCGGGAGTCTATGAAATTCTGGAATTTGTTGGAATGATTCACATGTATATGCATATTTTAAGATAGGAGATGAGATTTTCATTCATTATTAAATGTCTGTATGGGTGATCGTTCTCCAGAGATACAGAACCTATGGCTGTGTATACTTGTGAAGAAATTTATTATGAGGAATTGGCTCACATGATCATGGAGGTTGAGAAATCCCACAGTCTTCATCTGCAAGCCGGAGACCCAGAAAAGCTAGTGGTATAATTCTAATCCAAGTCCAAGGCCTGAAAACCAGAGGATGGATGGTCCTAGTCCAAAGGCAGAAGACTGATATTCCAGCTCAGTCAGAGAGAAAAAAGTCAACCATCCTCCGAATTTTGTTCTATTTGTGCCCTCATCAGATCAGATGATGCCCACATACATTTGGGAGGATAATTTTCTTTACTCAGTCTACCAAGTTAAATGCTAATCTCTTCTGGAAACATCTTCACAGACATACTCAGAAATGATGCTTAGTTGTCTATCTGGGTATCCCTTGGCTGAGTCAAGCTGACACATAAAATTAACCACCACAATGTTTGTGATCCATAAAACATTAAGAATTGTTGAAAATTCATTCAACTATATTTACTTCTCTAAAGATTGACTTGATCTATTTTACTTTAAGCAGCAAAATCTTATAGTAAAGCTAATGTCTGTCTGATCGTATTTCATTTACATTTGTCACATGGTTTAGTTTGGCCTGAGTCATCTTCTCTTCTAGATATGCATGCACTTCCTTACGATTTCAGCTGTCATCTTGGCTTTAGCTACCATTTTTCTAATGTTGAATCCTCGCTCTTTTTCTCAATTTCTGATTATACTTGTGAGCTAAACAAACAAAAGCGTAGCTACCTTTCATTTATTTTTACTGAGTGTTCCTATATGAACTGATTAGATTCATTCACTCCAGTTCTACTGTGACTTCTTAATTACCTCTAACAGTATATGTCGTAATCCATCCCGTTTCCTAAGGTCAGCACTAAATCATGCCATAGTGTACCTTCTTCTTCTTTCATTATAAATAGCCTTTTTAAAAAATTCTGAATAAATGTCTGTTGGATCTTTTTTCTCTTCACACTGTCAGTATCCTACTTTGAGCTCTTGACAAGTCTTACATAAGCAACTTACTCCTGAGTCTTCTTTCTTCCAAATCTACTGTTTTTCTTCTAATGTTAACATAATTAAATCTCCATAAAGCAAATTTTCTGATGAAACATTGTTTTCTAGCTGCCTTAAGCTCCTCAGACTTACCAGATTCTACTATATTTTTCTTAATCTGAGTACTGTTTACCTCATTTGATAGTAATTCTCCATGTCTGACTCACCTTTCTGGTGACTCACCTGATCTAGCTCCCAGGTTACATGTATAGTATGATAGCAGAAATGACTATCTGTCAATATTTGTGCTTCCCCTTCCTTATTGTTGAGTTGTTACTAGGATAGACCTGCCCAGCTATGGACTGTGTTTCCCAGCTCCTCTATAATTCATGTGACTAATTCCCAACAGTGAAATGAAAACAAAGATGGTAGGTACATCACTTCTAGACCAGGGCTTTTAATAACTTGGCATTTTCTACTCTCACTTTTGCCTTCCACTAGCTGAATACACAGAATTCTAAGGCACTAAAGAAACGAGAAGCCAAAATATGGAAGAAATCTGAGTTCCTAAAGCATAACCTGGAGGTAAGCTATCCTCTTGCCAGAAGGGAACCCACTGGAAAACATGGCTGAGAATAAGTTTCTATTGTATTAAGATATATTTGTTTAAGGTGTTATAGCAGTTAATTACCCCAACTAATATAAGTAGATAGTTAATAAAGTATTTTTAAATCAATGTTTATAATGTACCTACATATTTTACATTTGTACAAGTGTGAATACAGCCAAAAAAAAAAAAAAAAAAAAAAAAAAAACCAGATTCCTCTCTCTTGCATTTCCCAAAATGTGGTACAATATAATGATCTTGGATTCATTATATGCCACTTCCCTCAAATTTAGAAGAAGAAAAACATTGCAGAATATAGACTATTCATTTGAAACATATCACAAAAATTACATCTTTATAAAATTTCTCCATTTTTATGTATTTTTGTTCACATTAGCACAAAATTCAAAGTACTGTTTTGCTCAAGAAAGAAAAAAAAGAACAATACAAATAATTAAAGAGAGTCTAGAATACGTTGACAACTAATTAGGACATTGAAAGCATTTGGAGGAAGCATCCAAAAAAGCATTTGGTTAAACCTAGCTAAGAAAAATAGGCTTAGCTATTTGAGTAACCATATTATACACATTGCTTCTTCATATAAATCTGTGTGAGTTTCTTAGGGTTGTTTATTTTGCTCAATTTATATATCCATTATTTTTCCCATTTTTTTCATAGTCAGTCAATTTATTTCAGAAATAAAGAAAAGAAAATTTAATCAAGAAGTTTCCCTCCAGCACTCTGTCCTTCCCATAATGCATTAGAAATTTGTGAGATGAGATATTTTTAATAAGTGAGGTGATGATGAATGTGTAATATAGAAATTTGTTTAGAATTGAATTCTATATAAATACATGCATTGGGTTTTTTTAAAAAGTAGAATGTAATACATGATCAAATTCCAATAATTACTCATATTTGCTAATCTTACTATCTGCAGAAGGTTTAAGTCTGTTGTCTCCTTCATCCTTGAAACTCAAAGTGTATTCCATGGACCAACTACATCAACATTGCCCAGAGCTTGTTGGAAATGGAGAATCTCAAGTCCCATCCCAATTAATTTGTTTGCTTGTTAATATTTGCAAAGCACTGCTCTAAGTGACAAAGAGGAAATAAAGAATGGCTTGAACAGAGTTCCAAAGGAATTTTACTACACTAAAAAAATAATTTTATTTCAATTTAAATAAAATGTTTCTTTAAGTTGTTATTTTTGTGAAAAATATAATCATTTGTCCCATTAACCTTTGAGTATTAGCATTGAGGTTCAGGGGAAATAGAATGGATTTTTCTATATGGGATTTATTTTGGCAAAGAGGATTCCAGCTGAAATAGTAGAAAAAACATACCTCTGCTATTATTAAGTGGTAAGAAAACCTTGAGAGTACAAGTTAGGGCAGGCCTTTGAGATGACTTAATCCAACAACTCTGGCTTCCTTTTGCTAGCAGTTCTCTTGACGTTATCCTCCTCCTGGGATAGCTTTATCTAGAAGCTAGCAAAAAATAACAGTAAAAATCTTGCACACAGTCTTGTGCATGGCAAAATCATGGCCAGAGAAATACAGACCATCTATTCCTGTGGCTACCACTTGAGAAAGAGGAATTTTCCCCAGAATTTCCCAGCAAATTTCTTCTTATATTTTATAGTTTGATTGGGGTAACATGCCTCTTCCAAAGTCAACCACACAGTTTCTAAAACATGATTGTTAAGTAGATGAAAGTATCTTGATCGACCTATTTTCTTAGATCAATCCATCCAACTGCTTCTCAGGTTGCTAATCAATAAGGAAGGGGAAACATGAATGTTGAAAGCCAAGCACAATGTTTAACAAAGGTCACATTTCTTTTATTAGACTTTTCATCACTGCACCTTGCTCCTCTCATTTCCTTCATCAAGTCACATTGCCACATAACCTTTTAACACTTCTTGTAATAAAACATTTGCTTAAACCTCATGGCACTTGTCCTCATTTTCCTCACTGTTCCCCTTGGGTCTGGCTCATTGGAGGGCTGAATGTGTTTTTGCTTTTATTTGATTGTTTTGTTTTTTATTTTCTCAGCATAATTACTACGCAAAAAAATCTGCTGAGGCCACCCAATCCCCAAGAATATCTATCATCTGTATTTCCCACAGCAGAAGCATACTCTGATACAGTAGAGCCAGCTATTGAATAAGCTGAGGTCTCTGTTTAACATACATGGCAAAGCAAGAGAGGGTTCTGTTGCATTTCAGATGAGCAGCTTGAATATGCTGCCTCCAAATTTCAAAATGTATTTCATATTACATGGTGCCAAAACAACCTAATAATCATATTTTCTCTTTTAGGTAGAAATATATGCCACACAGAAGGGAAAGCAGGTAAATTTAAGCACAGTTCCAGGTTTCTTTGAAATCTCCTACACATTCCAGAGTTAAGAAAACTTCAAGTTAATTTGTCACAGGACTGCTACAGTGGCAAATTTTTCTCTTCTTCTCTGTCAGTAAGCTAGAATTTTCTTTGCTTGCTTAAGCATCTGACATATAGTATATTTTCAAAATATATTTGTTCAATAGAAAATTCTACTTTTGAGGAAACTGGCTGAAAGTTCCATGTATTCTTTAAATGGTCTGTGAATTTTGCTTTATAAATAATTATCATTGCTGAATTCTTCCAACTATGATCAGAAGCTAGTAATAGCTCAGTAAAGAATTTTTATGGTGTGTGTCTATCTTCTTGGCACTGGAATTATTTTTTCCCTTTTATTTTATGGCTTAGAATCAATAAGATTGACAAGCAAAGACTAAACAATAAATTAAAATAATAATAAAAGAGTTTGAGCAAGTCAATTTTCACAGAAATTTGCCTGATATGAGTCAGTAGTAACAGCTTTTTAGTGAAGAATATGCTGGCTGATGAATTAATGATACCTACTGTGCTTCAAAATATCTAGAAAGTTTTCCCTTTTGAGATGTGATCATTTCTTCATTTCTCTAGATGTTATCAGATTTTCAATGCCCAGTCTATGTTGTGCCTCTGGGAAGATTTTCTAACTACACTAGTTCATAGTATTTTTTTTATTTCATGTACTTCCATAGCCCTTAGTAACTAGATATTTATCTCTAATAGTTTTGTGAATATCAGCCTCTTTATACAAATATAACTTAAACTCCTCAGGAGCATGGTGAAAATGGCATAATTGTTTATAACTTATACATTTTAGATAGTAGAATAAGTAATTAATGGAAACTGATTGAAAAAAAGCTCACCAGAATGTCCACTTTTTCCCTTTCTCTCTAAACTAAATGTGACATTTAAAAAGAATATGGTAAGACTGGACACGCACGAAGCTCTGGCAGAGCGGGGTGGGGAGCGGGGGCAGGAGCAAGATATGTAACCCTAACAGTATTTGTACCCACAGAATTTGGGGAAAAATAAATAAATAAATAAAAATTTAAAAAAAGAATGTGGCAAAATTTATTATGGTTTAAAATCATCTGTTCCACCTTAAAATCACCTGTGTATTTCCAGACTCCACCCTCTGATGGTAACTAGTTAAATGATGCAGTCATGGTGAAGCTTCTCTAGATCCTTCATGGAGCGTTATTGTTTTGCTTCCTCTACTATTCACCCACCAGTAGTGACAGCAATAACAATTTGATGAATACATATGACTACTATATAATTTTTTCAAAGATATCTTTGAATAAACACCTTCAACATTTGCCTAGCAAAGAATAGAAACATTAAAGATATTTAAATGTAGGTAAATTTTATTTTACAGTATAAAAATATAAATCAAGCCCTGCTATAGCACAGCTCATTACTACAGGCAGAACACAAAGCAAAACTATGTCCTTTGAAACATCAAAATCACACAAAATAAAACTATTAAAGGCAAGAAATTTATGCAGTAATTGTCTATCCTTTAAAAGGCAGTCTAAAGTATTAAGTATGAGAGGGGACTGAGGCTATCAAAGTTTTGTTTTTTGGAGCCCTGATCTAAAGGCATTAGTAGTGATACCTTAAATGTTTGGTATTCACATAGGACTGGGAAATGTAGATGTATTTAGTATGTTACTATATTAAAGTCTATGAGATGTACACAGAAAGAAAACTCCCTTATAAATATGCTTAAAACTGTGGAATAAAACTTTCAAATTTATTCAAGCACAAAGGATATTTCCATGGAAAATCTATTAACTAGTAGAGGTGTTTTGAGAGACATCAACTGGGGAAATGCTGTGGTTGGTAAAAGGGAATTATACTGAAAATCATGAGGGCTAATTTCTAATCTTAGCTAAGGAGTTCTAGTGCTTAGGAATTCATGCAATCACAAAAGAACACATCATTTGCATTTAGTTCCAATTAAAATAGAATCATAAATGCATTTAATCTATGAATAAAAAATATAATGCTGATAGTCTGTTTGGATGCTGTCACTTTCAATAATAGAAAACTCAATTCAAACATTTATCCTGAGGCTTGAGCCAGGATCATTACTAAAACAGGACACATTTTATTTTCTTGTCTCTACTTTGTCTTCTACTTTGTCTTCTGCTATAGAATATTACCGTCATGGTCTCAAAATGCTTTCTCCAGCTACCTGTATGTACAATTTCTTCTTTCATTTTCTGCAAATATGGGAGAGTAGCTGTATCCCAAAATGTACAACAAATTCTGAAATTGACTCCTACTAGATTAAGTCATGTCCTTTCCATAAATTAATCACATTGGTCAGAGAATGAAATTCACTGACAAGGTTTATCCTCAGTCATGTGCTCTACTCCTGAAGTCAGGGATGGAATTATGTTGGCCCAAGTTACATGGATCTCTTATTGACAGATGGAATTTTGATGAATTGGAAAAAGATAGCATAGATACATATGCAGAAACAGAAACTATCTTCTTTGCTAGCGTAGAATGCAAGGAAGGTTAAAATTTATAAACTTATAACCTTAAGTATATAAATTTATAATGTGGTAAGAGCTTCAAAAGAGCAGGGTAGTAAATAAAAATGATCTGAGCTCAACTGAATTATTAAAAACATACATGTGAATACTAGACATTGCTATTAGGGATATCTTTTTATAAGTATAATCTTTTCTCTGTAAGCTGAATCATATTTTTGTAAAAAAATAAGAAGTAATCTGTGTTTTCTGGAAGATATAATAAGGCCTATGGAAATTCAGCAATTACTGATTTCCATCTGAAATTTAATTCAGGGCACAATTTCAGAGATAATCATACAATTAACAGAAATGAGACTACATTTTCACATACTTAAGAAAATGCACTTTTGATTTTGCCAATAAAACTTTAGTGCTTTCCTTATATTTAAGGCATCCGTTTATTAATTGTATGGTAGTTATCAATATTGTATTAAATTAAATGTCAGGCAAGTTTATGAACTGAGAAACGTCAGCATCTGTCAGAGACTGAATTTTAATAATCAGGGAGGTTTAGCTTACTTAAATTCAAATTATACAACAAAGCATTTATATATTTATTGATATTATATAGAAAATAATTGAGATAATTGAGAATTTTGGAAGATATAGATTATGTTTTGTTTAAAACCAAATGGAAATCATAAGCAGTGCTTATTTATATAATATGTTATTCTTGTCTGAAGAAGTCAATAATGTGAGGTCAAGAAAGTATGAACTGTCCTGATAATGAACATCTTTAAAATCTAGAAAAAAGAGCCCCTACTCCTTTTCTTACCAGCAAGGCAAAAGCCTAGAGAGAGTTCCAAGTGAGGTTGGGGTAGCCTGGCTTCACCATTAAGTCTTTGACAGGGACAACTGTCACTGTGCCAACCTCAAGCAAAATGCTATGCTCCTTGGGCATTAAACACCCACTTTTCCCAACCATAATGTAGCTTTATGCCCTTCTTACTCAGAAATTCTCAAAGTAAGTGCTACTTCAAATTTTATGGTAGCACAACACATTTTTAAAATTGTTTCTTGTCAGCCTGGATCCAAAGAATTCCAAGAAATTCTCTGTCTGAATATTCTAGTCCTATTTATTCTTTGATCTCTGTCTGACTCAATTCTAATCTGTACCAGTTTGAGACTCAATCAGATGCTGGGGAAAGCTTCTTCCAGACCAAAGCACCTCAATGACATTTGTT